TTATTCTTACTTTTTTTCCTACGTTGTGTTAAAAAAAAAAATAAGGCTTATAATTTTAAATAATTTCAAAACACCCACGAAATATGATTTTTCTTATCTTTTCCTTTAATTTTATTATTATTAATATTTCCACTTATTTGGGCATTTCGACGTGGTGTCATATGGTTAGTAAGCAAAGCTTGTCCTGTGTTGTAGATGGCGGCTCGGGGAGGGGAGGGGGGGTCCGGTCCTTCCCCGGGCGGCATTTTTGGTCCGCAGAAAAGAAAAAGTAAGCAATATAGCATAATTTCAATAATTTTTGACAAAAAAAAAAAAAAAAAAAAAAAAAAAAAAAGGTAGCGATAAGGAAGAAGACAGGGTTCGAATGAAGCCAATTTGTCTTTTGATATATGACCGACTCAAAGCCAGCCAGCCATAAATTAAAAATTGTTTCAAAAAGTAAAGTCGCTGTCAGCTGGGGGGTGGGGATATAAACCCCACTTACAAGACGGTGGCAAAAGGTGTGAAAAAAAATTCCACATTTTTAAAGGGCTTGATGTGAGGTTGGATGTTTAAGTGAATTTTTAGTGAATCCATAGTTTTTTCACACCTATATGTGAGAAGTCCAGATTTTGGCGTCAGTTCTTTGATTTTTCATAAAAACAGGGGATATATAAACAAAAAAAAGCAAGTTTTCTTTCTTTTGATATCGTAAAAAGTTTTCCTAATTTAGGAAAAAAAAAAAAAAAAGTAACGTCTCCCAGTTTCATTTCTAAAAAAATAAATAAACACAATTGTACTTTTTTCAAAATTTACCAGCAAATATAAACACAATTGTACTTTTTTCAAAATTTACCAGCGAGGAGTTAAGAATTAGGGGAAAAAAAAACCTGGCATCATACAGACATTCTGAGAAATGGACCATAAAAATAATAAAAAATTTGATGGGTAAGACCGTAAGAATAATTACGTCGTTGACTATAAGTATAGGATTGGTGTGTAGACGGAATAATAAAATTCCAATAAACAAATATATATATTATGTTTTAAATATATATGAAATAATTATTTATTTATAAATATGTGGGGGCGGGCAGACTTGAGGGTTGCCCCGGGCGGCAAATAAACACTAGCTACGCCATTGATGGATTAATTACGACTGAGTGGTGAGTTCGATCTTCATTGGCTGCACCATACTTGCAGCTTTATGCCACTCTGATTTAACGCTTAGTAATCACTATAATTTTGGTAGGAATAATTTAAGGAATTTATTTACATAGCAAACTGCCCCCTTAAAACTTAGAATTAAACTTTTAAATTTGTTTTTATTATATTCGTGATCTAAAAACGACATTAGTAATTTGAAAGAAAAAATGATTTCTTGGAGAGTTGCGTTTTTTTAATTTTTGAGAAGAATTAACTTTTTCTTTTATTAAGAAAGTGAATGAATGTGACCCTAAAATGGAGGTTTGATTTATCATTTGCAGTGTACGTATTTAAAAACTGGAGTATTATTATGTTTGGAAAATGCAAAAAAAAAAAAAAGAAGAAAACCTCATGTTTTTCTATGTTCAGACGGTAATCTTATCTGTTTGAATGAAAAAGATTTTGTCTAATTCGATTTTGTGGATTAGGCTTGCTTGCATAATAATGCTTTTTAATTTTAAAAACAGACAAAAAAATTATGCTTGAAAAATGAAAATGCACAAGCTTCGCAAACTTCTTGCATAAAAGATAAATAAAAATAAAACTAAAAAAGTGTCTTTAAGAATAATGAGAAACAGGAACTGAAAACAAGTATTTTTTTTTGTTTATCTTGGACTGGATACGTTTTTTTGATTTCGACGACCAGCCAGATTTTCTTACCAAATTATACATTGAAAAAGATAAGTTTCTTGTCTGCAGCTGAAAAAAGTGGAAGGTTTATTCAAATATGCCAATTTGTTTGATAATGGTGAAAAAAGACCAGAGAACATTAAATTTATTTACGGAATATGTATGTAATGCAATAATGAGAAACTTTTAAAAAGAGCATGCATGAAGACATGCTTTCGTGCAGATTAACTTAGGTTAGAAAAACGCAAAAAATGCATGCGTTTATTAGATTTTTATTATTAGTTGAGTACACACTACATGCTGAAAAGTTGTTATCTCTCCAAAAATAACTTAGAAAAAAGTACTCAAAGTTTCACACTCTAAAATTTGCTGACTGAAAAAGGAAATTTATACATTTATTAACAAAAAAAAAAAAAAAAAACGATTAAAAAGAATTTTGGATAAAAGAAAAAATACAAATATAAAAAATAACAATAATTAAGAAGAACCAAATGAAACCAGGAACAAAAATCTCAGAATGTCAATATTTGAATTCACTTCACTTCAGTCATTGGCAAAGTAGCCTGTTTGGCTCTATGGTACGCCGAATTTCACAAGGAAAATAACATTAAAAAATATTTCATTTCGTTCTCACTTGTTTAATAACACTTTCTCATACATAACCACATATTGATTTAAGAAATACATAAAGTACAAGGTTTCTTGAATTTTCTAACCTCTCATTGAAGATAACGTTTTCTTAAGTATTTTTTAAAACCATTATGGGCGATTTTCACTAAGGAAGATACATCTGTAAACATTTTTGCTTTAGAAACGTTCAGAGTTGTTTTCCTTAGAGGAGAATTATATTTTCACTTAAAAAAATTGTAATCAAAATGAATGGCAAAGTGGAAATATTTTTTTTGTGTGTGACGTGTTTCGTGCTTTACGACTTCAAACTAATTTTCCCTCGTTTTTAAGGCAGATGTTTACGTGCGTGGTTTTCTGTAATGAAAATAGCTGCAGTACCTTCAACAAAAAAAAAATTACCTTTAATTACCTTGAATTGAATTGAACCTGCCTTATGATGAGTCATATCTTATGCGGGCCCATTGTTCGAAAAAGGTTACCCATGCCTGGACTAAGCAATTATGATGACATTCTGAATTTCAGAAGAAATATATCAGTCACTTTCAGAAATAAAGTGTTCTAACTTCTAATTTTTATTTTTTCTGGGCTTTCATTTTGAAAGATAATGACCAGAGCAAGGTAACTAAAAAGTAAAATCATAAAACGGATTAAAAGGAGCAACCTATACATAGATTCTCAAGAGTTCATATATACATGTGCAAAAAGACTTAAAGAGTATCATTTTTTTTACTGGAACTAAGGTGAAAGAAATACTAGTCAAAAATGAATAATAATTGATAATGCTACATCTAAAAATTCTATTATTACACCTCATATGAAAGAACAATTAAAAAAATTAATAATAATTAACAATGCTACATCTAAGAAATTTGAAGACTTATTCCAAGAACATATTGAAGACTAACATCTGCAGGTATTTTGCATGAATTTTAAGCTCATTAAAAACCAGAAAATGGTGCATACAGTTTAAAGGCGACATAAACACAAGTCTTTCCTTAATGTACTTAAAAAGAACAATTTACATAGGGGAACAGTTTAAATTACTGGAATTCTCAGATGAAGTATTTTTGCTCTCAATGTTGAGTTTCTTTTGTCTTATTCTTGCTTCTTATTACAACTGTTTTGATCAAAAACCTTACAACTGTTAAAGTAGCATGAAAAAAAGAAAAAAAATGAAACTAACAGCTTATATCCCATATCCTGAGAGATGATTTTTATGGACAACAGCTTAACAAATTCAATTAAGGAAGTCACCTAAAGTGAGATCCCACTGAAAACACTGGTTTAAATTTGATCAAAGTTAAGCAACGTTGATCCCGGTTAGTAATTAGATGTAGGACTTTTTAGGAACACCACATACTGTAAGCAACCTTCTACAGTCTGAAATATGCTTTGGCTTTAAATAACCCACAAGTGGTTGATAAGCTGTAAAAAACAAACCACTTAATCAGTTATGGAAATTTAGCTGGTTCAGACAGTATTTTGGTGTAAGTGAACCACAAAGTATTGTAAATATTCTAATGGGAACAAATATAAAAAGAATTTTAAGTATTTTAATATAAATAAACATCAAAGTATTTTAAATAGTCTAATGGAGATAAACATCAATCTATTTTTGATTAAACTACATCACTTGAGGATTTTCAACAGCAGCAATGACTAAAATGGATAGCACATGTAACTTGAAGAGAGAAGAATGACATAATCAAGATGCTGACATTCCACACTACTTCAAACAAAAAGCAAGGACGAAAGCCTTCATCAATACTGGAAACAGTGATAACAGCTACAGGACTTGAGAAATCTATTTAAATTTGTTTTATGTGTTCAGAGATACATTAAATATGTAAACAATGCAAACAGTTTCAGGCAGAGACCAGTTGATTCATTTCAACTTTGATTTTCAGATTTTTATGCCAACAAATTTTGAATGTGATTGACAGACAGAACTAAGAAAAGATTTATATAACCTGTGGAAGCAGTAAATGGATAGTTGACTGCATCTAAGTAGACTGACAAGATTTTATCATGATATATTAACAATTACTCAATCTTCACAATGCTAAAAATTTGATTTTATATATCTGTATGCAAGCTTTAGATAGCTGAAACAGTGCATTGCAGTCAGAGGTAGTGAATTAAGGTCCCCTTAAAATATGCTAACATAGAAAATGCAACAAAAATTTGGGTGATTTTCAAGTGAATGATAATATTTTAGAGTTTACAAATGCTGATGTTCTCATTTAGTTGGAAAAAAGGGAGCTGAAATGGTGTATTATTCTCAAGGGAGATGAAATGATGCATTGTAGTCAGGGCTGCTGAAATGGTGCATTGTAGTCACAGGTATTGAATTAAGCTATCCCTAAAATATTAATTTAATGCAAAAATAAAAATCCTGGTAATTTGCAACTGAAAGATAATATTCTTCAAGGAATTGATGCAACATGTCAAGATAAATCAGTACTAGAGCCATAGCTTTGGGTGTGGGATGGAAATGGTTCATAAATCTTAGAACTCATCCAGACATTAAGCTAAAGCAAGTCTCTTTCTGGTTTACGGCTACATCGCATTGAAACACTGGTTCCCATACAGTCACCAGTTAAGCAATGTTGAGCGTGGTCAGTACCTAGATGAGTGACCATTTGGAAATACCAGTTGCTGTAAGCTTTGATGTACAAGTGGTGCAAAGGATAATAGCTTGGAATGAGTTCTAATTCCAATTGGGCTTGTTATATTCACTTATGTGAAAATACCCTTGGGAAAGGTATGAATCCACCTTTTCTCCCTCCAGCTATGAGCTAATTAGTAAGATTTATATCACTAAAATCATTATTATCTCAAAAAAAAAAATTGCCTACAAAATATTTAGATTTTTGCATTAAATAACTCATAGAGGTGTTGATATGCCACTAAACAAAAACAACCAACCAAAGTCTCTTTCTCAATGCTGAACAAAGTCGTTTGGACACTCATCTGCACAAATGCAACAGCTGTGATAATTTCCATTTCCATAAAGATTTTTATTCTTTTATATGCAGTGTCCCTTCATGACAAGGGCAATCACAGCTTTCTACAACATCCTATCTTTTCTAGGTCTAAAGAGTTTTTGCCTCCTTACTATCCATCCCAGTTCTGCCCCCCATTTGCATAAACTTCTTTGGTAGGTTACTTGCTATTTTCCTCTGTCTCTTTTTACCTTCAATATATCCTATAAGTGTAAAATTCCAAACCCTCTTATTATATGTCTCAGAAATTTCAGAAATATCTCTTTCTTATTCTAGATATAAGTGTCCCCCCACATTTCCCTTAAAACTTCATCATTGCTCACATGCACCATGCTCAGTATCTTTCTCTAAGAGCCAAATCAGGCTGAAAATGGCGTACTGTTGTTAATATTTGGGTGGGAACTACCCAGTCCTCACATTCCTGTTTCAATAGAGTTCAAAAGTGTCTCTTGAGTCCTTGTGGGTGATGAATTATTTTCCACCTTCCAACCTATCTCTCTCTCTGGCAGGATGTGGCAAGCCTCTCACTGCTCTATCACTACTTCCATGGAAAGTGCTTGGCTGAAATACATTCCTTGATTCTGCCAGTTCTAACCTTCATGGCTGGGACCTGCCATGTCACTTACTTAAAAGCAAACCACCCACATTTCCTCTGTATTCCATCAGTGAGGAGTTAGTTCCACCCGAACAGCTTCTTCCTACAAACCACTGCTCTGTGGAACTGACTCCCAAGAGGATGTTTCCCTGATCACTACAATCTTAACCTGTTCAAGTCCAGAGTTACTGTTATTGTCCCCTCCTATCTGTATAAATTACTTATTAATGTAACCCTCTACCTCAAGTGGCTTCTGGGCCTTGTACAGAATAAACCACACTGTAAAAAGAAAAATCACATCTGTTGTCTCAAGTCTCCTCTTCACCTGAGAGGAAATTGTGCAACTTTCATTATCATATAGGAGGACTGATATTACATAGATGTTCAGCAGCTTTTTCTTTGTTTCTAATCAAATTTTCTCATTTCTTAATACTTTGTTTAGATTTTCTCAGACATATCAGACACCACAAATATACCAGGATATTTATTTGAAATGCTGAATGATTTGATCTATGTAAGGATACTGAACACTCGTGTTGAACCCTACTTTCAATAATTCAATGTGTGTCATTAATCATTCATTCATTCTTGGTAAAGGTATGAATCCTCTTCTCCCTTAAGCTATGCGTAAATAGCAGGACATACTGGGTTCTATAGCCTTGGATGGCAACTGGTCTAGGAGAAGGACAACTCTGAATTCAAAGCCTGCAGAAGGTCATTTGGGGACCTTGTGGCATGTAATGCACCAGGTCACTATTTGGCTCTTCAAAAAGTATGGTTGGTTCTGCACAAAGCCTTCACCACTATAATCAAATCATATGTGCTGGTGTCTGGGCTGTTGGTTCCTAGGAACTGAGCTGCTTGACTCATACATCGAATACGACAGGAGAGTCCACTATATATATATATATATATATATATATATATAGCAAGAATTCATTTAAACAAATTATTAATTTAAATCAACAAGATTTGTGTGTTTAATTTGTATTGTATTTTTCAAATTTTAAAATATGATGCTATACATCTGAATCAAAATTGTGGATAGTTAGTCAGTTATGTGACATGTGTGATACATGCTTGGGCAATCATGTATCTTTCAATACATGATTGACGAGGCAGATTTTTTCCCCACAGTAGGTTGCTATTTCTTTCTGTCATAGACCAGTTGGCATTGAAGGCTATAGAACCTGGTCTCTCCTGCTATTTACCCATAGTATTAGCACGTAAGTGAATGTAATGGATTCAACTGGAATTTGAACTCAGCTCTCTGATTCCTCAATCCGAGCCGCTATCCATTACTCAACCATACAGTCCAAAATTTATATTTTGTTCTGTTTTATTCAAGTACTTTAATGTGTGTATAGATAATAAATATTTAAATATTTGATACATTTTTTCTGGTTCAGTCTGGTGTTTTACACGTTATCATTTATTCAATATGTATATATTGAAATTAGTTGAATTATAGTGTTTAAAACATGCCAGTATGTAGCCAATAAATTTTTATTAACCATACTGATAGTATTTAGTTCTTGATAATGATTGAGACAGATGAGATTACTTGAATAAAAACAGAACAGAACATGTAATCATAACTCAATTTGTACTATAACAAAAATCATAACTCAATTTGTACTATATATATGTGTGTAAAATATTGAATATAATAGACATGTTTATTATATTTAAAAAATGTTCCTCTAATTGGCAGATTAATTTCTGTATCTCAAAATTGAAAGTATGATGAAACTATCCACAGTTCATGTTAGTTCATTTAATGTTTTAAACTTCAACTGGGGTCAATCATCAGCAAAATCACTTGTAATTTATGCACAGGCTCTCTAAAATGGACTTAAATTCCCAGAATCCATTCACATGGCATCAAAACCATTTGAAACAATCACCAAAAGGATTTTGATTCTTGATAACTGAAGCCAGTTGAAAGTTCAAAATATCACCTGACATGAACTGTAGAATTTCTTCTTTTAATTCAAAGATACAAAAATATGTATATGAGGATGTTGATAAGTTCTTCGTCTGACCCACTTATGAAAAACTGACCTAATGGACAATTATCACAATTTTTAGGGAACCCTTACTTGATCAAAACAAGAGTTTTTTTTTTTTTACTATGCCCTAAAATATATAAGTTTAAAAGACTTATCTTCTGACTCAATGTTTTGCAGATACACCACTCATCTTATCTTGAGTTGTGTATCTGTGAAACTTGAAGATGGAAGATAAGTCTTTTGAACTTTTTTATTTATCTATTAACTATTATTGCACTTTTTAAATATTGAGCATGTTGTTTACAAAAGCCTGATCTCCTTTAAATGCATTAAACTCCATTAAATACTGGCTGATGTATTTTATTGGGTGTTAAATCTTTATTATTAATATATTTATTTGTGTATGCATACATTGCATTTCATTATTAGCTACTTCATTTTTCCTAATTTTTAGAAAACTAATGAAGAGTTTCACGTAAATATGTGCATTATTAATGCACAAGATGTTTCCCATATGTGTAAATTATAATATAATTCATGTCCCTCTTACAATGTGGCAACATTTTTGTGAAATTTACTGGATTTTCCAAGTTTCAGATAAATAACCAGGTTGCTGAAACTACAAGAAGCATTAAGTTGTAATTAAATGTTTACATAGGCAAATGTTTTAAACATTGTTATAATGAAAATATTAAAATTAAAAGTATTTGCTGTGTTCTGAAAAAAGTTTTCAAACTTGTTCATACATTGATTTTGTCATATGTAACAGACTGCACAGTATTCAAAAGAGCATTCCAAGGTTTATTTTGCTGATAAATTGCTGTTCATCAGTGTGAACTTGTCTCTTTAGTATGTTCCACATCACATGTTTTCAGTCTGGTAATGGTCAGGTGAACAAGCTAGGCACTTCAAATGAGTATCATTGAAACCCATTTTATTCAGAGGTGCATTAGTTTTCTTTACTGAATATGATGGGACATTGTCATGTATAAAAAATTCATTTTGAAAGCATTTGTCTTCTTGAACTATGGTTACATGTGTGCCTTCAGAAAAATTAAAATATGTCTGCATTGTCATCTTGACATCATTTAGAACTTATGGACCCACCAATTCAACATTCATAATCCTGCCCCAAAACATGAATACCTCCATCTTATTGTTTCAACTTGTGAGGCTGGTTTCTACCAGTAGCTACTCAGCCTTTACTCCATCTGGCCAGTTAAGGTAAGCATGCATTTGAGATTGAAAAGAATGGCTGAAAATCAGTTTTTGTGTATTCTGTTTCCCATTTCATTTCATTTTTCTTGTGGATAGATTTGAAAGAAAACCTAGTGATTAGTGTCATTTGATTTCCCACTTGATTTAGAACATGATATTTTGTGTTTTTCAAAATTTTCTCACTGCTGCATTGCCAAAAGATTTCATCATTTATCAAAGACTTTTTATAACTTTTTTTAGGCAGAACGCACTAAGTCCTTAACTTGACCATATCAGATTTCCATCAGAATCATCCAAGATTTTCAATGTGTTTCTTCACAGTTTAGTCATATCTACTGAACATTTTTACAGTTTCCAGAACCGTTCTATATTTTGCAAGTTGTTAAACATATGTCTTTATTTGTCATCAGACTGATACTTTATTTTATGCAACATTGATATTAATTTGAGACTTCAAAATTCAAGTCATTTCATAAAATAGTTGCTGTTTGTTTACATCTGCAATGAATGAATTAGCTTTCATCCTAACTTAACAGAGAGATGCTGCCATAATTTGTTAAATACAGCTTTCTATTACAATAAATATTTATTCTATATATCAATAAGAATTGTTAATAATGTGAGATGCATTGTATATACATACATAAACAGTGGGATTATAGAAATCAATACTGTATGTTAGCTAGCTGTTTCACACATTATATTTAATTATTGATTAAGTTGAAACTGCCAGCTACCATGCATGTATTGTTGATTTCTACACTGGTTATATCTACGAATGCTTTATCTCCCATAAATATAGCAAAGTTTTAACAAAATAATTATGTACATGTAT